CACCAGTGTGAGGGGACATCACATAATCCATTTACTGTCAGCTGGACCATCTGTCTTCTGCCTTTGGACATCATGCTGGCCAGTTCTAGGCCTTTGGACTCAGACTTAGACTGGGATTTACTATTGGCTCCCCTGATTTTCCAGTCTTCAGACTTGGTCTGGTACCATACCTCCAGCATTCCTGGGCCGCCTCCAAAATCATGTAGGTCAATCTCTCATAACCACGTTTTGTGCACGTGATGCTAGGGATCAAACTTGGGACCTTGCACATGCTAGGCAAGTGCATTGAGCCACAACCCCAGCCCATATAAATCACTTTATGTGTATATTTTGGTACTGGGGATTGAACTCAGGGGCACTTAACCACTGAGCCAAATCCCCAGCCCTTTTTTGCACTTTATTTAGATTAGGTTAGATAAGTTGCTGAGGCTGGCTTTGAACTTGTGATCCTTGTGCCTCAGTTTCCCAAGCTGCAGGGATTATAGGCATGTGCCACTGCACTCGGCTGCTTTTATATATTGATAAGCATCCTGTTGGTTCTGATTCTCTGGAGAACCCTAATATGCTCATAATTGCTGCAAGGTTTGTGTCAGGAACCTGAGACTACTTTAAAATGAGATTCAAAGATGAAAAATGAGGATTGACAAACCTGGGGAAACAAATTGAGAATTATGGTAAACTACATTGTGCAGTGAATGTTCTCTTCCTTCCATTCCACATCGATGAGACAAGAGGACTTTCCTGTTCCATGGTGGGTAGAGCATATGCACCTCCTGCCACCATGGTGGACTTGACCATGTGGCTTCCTTTAACCAAAAGATGGTGGCTGATGTGAGACGGTGGACTTACAATACACTAATGCAGCTGGGCCCAGGCTCTCTGGCATCTGAGCCATGAGACATGGGGAGCACAGTCTTGCCAGCCTGCATATGTGCAGGTTCAAGCTGTGAACATAGCACATGCCATGCCATTGAGATAATCTGTCCTGCAGAACAAGCTGCCAGATACAAGGACCAAGCAAAACTGAGCATAACACACACACTAGATATTTCTAGCAGGGACCAGAAAAGACATGGCTGAAAAAATCAAATTACTGACAGGCGTTAATCAGTGGATGCTGGGGGATACGACAAAGATTAAAGCCATTAGAAGTTGGCAGATGTGAATGTATAACTGGCCTTCTTGAAATACAGAAAAGAACATAACTCAGATACATGATTCAACAAAATGTCTCTAAAATGAAAAAACATCCATCTGCAGGTTTAAAAGCAAATTATGTTCCTTAACGCACTTCTAACCCGCACACGAGGCCTCTAAGATGGGCAGGGAGGGAGCTATAAAGTCGGGGGAGCTGAGGCACAGAGCCAGATGGACCTGCGTGAACACAAGGTGTGGGAGGACCCTGTGCAGCTCTGGGCTAGAGAAGTGGCGTCCGCCCAGGAGCAGGACAGAAGTCAGCCACAGCCACAGAGAAGGAGGCGCCAGAGAAGCAGGGCCAGGGGGAGTGGGGGAGGGTCACGCCGGGATGGACGCTTCGGGACCCGACCCTACAGCCCAAGCAGAACTGGGCCGCGAGGAGCGGAACCGCGGATGGAAGACCGATCGGGGAGAGAAGCCATGGAGTAGCAAGATCACTGGGCTTAGTGGCTTTACGGCAGGGCGGCGCGAAGGTCCCGGGCGACGGCGGGGCCTGCACACTGGCCTTCTGAGCTTATTCACATAGAACCAGAACACGCCCAGCGCAGGCGCACAGGCGGAGGCCGAGTACCCGGAGGGCGGGGTCGGACGTCGGGACAAGCGCAAGCGCAAGCGCACTGCGTGCATCAGGAGAGCAGCCCCAGCGCACCTGCGCAGCGAGGCGGCGGCTGGAGGGCGGGGCTTCCGCAGCCGCTCGCGCTCGGGGCATTATGGGATAGTGGCGGAGCGAGCCGAGTGTCGGAGGTGCTTAGGCGAACTGCGGCCCGAGACCCAGCCGCTTCAGGGGAGGCGTCGGCTGAGGAAGCGGGCGTCGGCCTCCGCTGGCCGCTGTGCAGCTCTGCGGTCCACTCGGGCTGCGGAGGAGGACGTATTCTCCTCTCGCGGGCGCCGGCTCGGCCGGGAACCCAGCCGAATTCCCCGTCCCTGCGCGCGGAGGCGCCTCGCGGG